GGATTGAGGTGGAATGCATTCTTAGTAAAGCATCACAAGAATGGAGAAACAGGCGGTGCCTATGGCTCAGTGGGTAGGGCGCCCGCACCATATACTGAGGGTGGTGAGTTCAAACCTGGCCCTGGCCAAACTGCAACAACAACAACAACAAAATAGCTGGACATTGTGGTGGGCAGGTGTGGTCCCAGCTACTTGGGAGGCTGAGGCAAGAGAATCACCTAAGCCCAGGAGTTGAAGGTTGCTGTGAGCTGTGATGCCAGAGCACTCTACTGAGGGCGATAAAGTGAGACTCTGTCTCTACAAAAAAAAAAAAAAAAGAATGGACAAGTAAAGAATCTAATGTACTCAATTCTAATATGAAGGCAGTAGATGATCTAATACAAGGGGTGAGATAGGGGGATGAGGGAACAGTGGGAGGGGGTTGGGGGGGTCATAGTGTATGGCACACCTCTGGGGGTGGAACACAATTATAAGAGGAAATTTACCTAACAAATGCAATCAGTATAAACTAATTCTTTGTACCCTCAATGAATCCCAAACCCCAAACAATAAAAATGAATGAATGAATGAATAAATAAATAAAATTTGGATAAATAGAAAATTAAATAAAAATTAAAACGGATCATTAAAATTAAGGCTGGATTCCTAAGTCGCCTAGACTAAAATAAGTTCTTGACAAATTAAAAAAGTTAAGTAAAAAAGTAAAGCCAAAGAATTAGGAGAATGTAGATAGAATAATGTTGAAGTTGGGAAAACTTTTATAGCATATCATGAAATTCAGAAATCAAAACAGAAGATATCAACAAATTTGACTACCATACAGATTTTTGTAAATAGCTACAAAAAACCCCAGTGAAAATTAACAATGTCAAGACAAATGGAAGGAAAATACATGTGACATATGAGAGATGAAGAGCTAATCCCCATGCTATCAAGAGAATTTTGAAAATCAATAGGAAAATAGCAATGAATGAAGACTGAATATTAATATTAAAAGGCAATTTATTGATGATAAAATTCAAATAGCTAAAACCTACTACAAAATGCTTAAACTTACCAGTAGTCAGGGAAATGAAAATTAAATTGACAATATTTGAAAAAAGCTCATGCCTGTAATCCTAGCATTCTGGGCATCCCAGTTTGATAGATCGCTTGAGCTCAGAAAAAGGAGACCAGCCTGAGCAAGAGTGAGACACCATCTCTCTAAAAATAGAAAAACTAGCTGGGCTTTGTGGCCAGATCCTGTAGTCCCAACTACTGGGGAGACTGATGCAGGAAGATTGCTTGAACCCTAGAGTTTGAGGTTGCTGTGAGGTATGATGCCATAGCACTCTAACCTGGGCAACAGAGTGGGCCTCTGTCTCAAAATAAATAAATAAATAAAATTCTCTAACAGATTTAAAAATATTTAAAGCTATCTTTTGAAAAAATGAATACTTTTATATGTTTTGTTAACTGTGGTGTTTGTTAGTTAAGATAGACTAATTTACACAAAGGTAATAAAATAAAGCCAAGATTACAGGGTTATTAACTTGAAGCTTTTACTTCCCCACTCCGGCTGTAGGTCATGGAAGTCAGACAAGGCTCTGCATCCCACAATTACGCATAAACCAAGACCAAAGGACCATTCTGTGGCTCCAAGATCACCTAGTCTTGAAACAAGTGCCCATAAGATAGACCTACTCGGCCTGATGTGCTCAAGCATCTGCAAGGAGTCTGGAGTGGTTGAGAAAAATAAAATAGGGAAAGGAAGATAGCTCGGGCCAGAGAGGAAAGCCGGTGGGCATGTGAGGATGGAGATCTGTTAGGCCCATTTGGGGAGCCCTATCCACTTTGGCTTTTACTTTCAGCATCTCCCCACATCTGACTAAATACTCTTTCACTGTCCTACTTCAGGGATATATCAACTCTTCAGCCCTGCAGAAATTTTGTTCACAGAGATCTTGATTGCTTTTTCTTTCCTTAAGATGTCACCCCTTAAAATGTCCTTTACATTGATGACATTATTCTGAGTGGACCTAAGGTGTGAGAAGTTGCAACTCCTCTTAACTATTGGTAAGGTATTTGCATGCCAGAGAGCAGAAAATAAATCCAACAAGAATTCAAAGGGCCGTCTATCTCACTAAAACATCTGGTGGTGTTTAGGGTCTGGTGATGTTGGGGCATGGTGAGATATTCCTTCTAAGGTAAGTTATTGGCACCTACAAGGGGCATAATACATAGTGGACCTCTTTGAATTTTGGAGAAATCATAGGGCATTCAAGCTCCAGCTGCGACCCTGGTCTGGCTCTCTGGTATTCCTTTGTGAGTTTCTCTGCATTTCTGCAGGCTGCAGGCAGGAACTCAATCATGAAAGAAATCCTTCTCAGAGTCATTCTCCTAGGAGAGCACTTGAAGTGAACTGCCACGTCTGAGCGTGGGGTCCTGATTTCTTCAGGTATATCTAGTCCATTTACCAAGGGACCTGAAAAGCTGTGAATTTCCAGTGGGTTTCAGAATAGAGGGCTCTGGAATAGTTCCAGGCTATTATTGTGCAAGCTGCAATGCTGCTTGGGGCCATACTGTCTTGCAGATCAAATGGTATTTGAAGTCTCAATGTCACATAGAGATGCTGTTTAGAGCCTTTGGCAGACTTGTTGGTGTATCTCAGAGCAGGCAGGCCCTTAAGATTTTGGAGCAAAGCTCTGTCATTCTCTGCAGATAACCACATCCTTTTTTTCTTCTTTTAGAGATAGGATCTTAGTCTGTCACCCAGGCTGGGGGATTACAGCTCACTGTAATTAACCTTCAACTCCTGGGCTCAAGTGATCCTCCTGCCTCAGCCTCCCATGTAGTTGGGACTACAGGCATGCACCACACCTGGCTAATATTTTATATTTGTAGAAATGGGGGCTCACTTTGTAGCCTGGGCTGCTCTGAAACTCCTGGGCTCAAGGAAGTGATCCTTGGCCTCGCTAAATGCCAGGATTCTGTGTGCCACACCCATCTGCTCTCCTTTGGAGAAAGTTCTTGGCCTGCTATTGGGCCTTAGTGGAGACTGAATGCTTAATTAACCATGTGGCCACCAAGTTACCATGTGACCTGAGCTGCTCATCAAGAGTTGGGTGTTACCTGACCCACCAATCCATAACACTGGGCACACACAGCAGCACTCCATCATTACATGACAGTGGTGTGTGTGACCTTGCACAAGTAAGTTACATGAGCAAGTGGCCCAAAAGCCCATGGTCTTCACTCCTACTCTAGTGCCTTCTCTTTCCCAGCCTCTGCCTATGACCTCATGAGCTGTTCCCTATGATCAGGTGACACAGGAAGAGAGGACTTGAGCCTGATTTACCGATGGCATGGTATGATATACAGGCATCACCTAAAGGTGAATAGCTGTAGCACTAGGGCTCCTTTCCTGGACATCCCTGAAGGATATTGGTATAGTAAATGCTTAAGTGAGCAGAACTTCAAGGAGTATACCTAATCATTCATCTCGCTATTAGGTCACCTTCTCTACAAGCAGAAGTATTTTGTCTTATTGAACAATTTCTAAAATTTCAGTTATTTCCTCTCATTAATACAAATAATTGCATTTTAAGATTCAACCATGTATTAAAATCTCATAAAATAATTTATTATGAAAAGCCTTTCTGTGATATTCTCTGCATTACAAAACAGGGGGTTCATAACATTAATGTAACTTCATAAAATACAAGGTGAATAATTTGGTAAATCACTTATTATATAATTTTTTAATTTTTTTGAGACAGAGCCTCAAGCGAGTCTCCTGCCTCAGCCTCCCAAGTAGCTGGAACCACAGGTGCCTGCCACAATGCCCGGCTATTTTTTGGTTGCAGCCGTCATTGTTGTTTGGTGGGCCCAGGCTGGATTTGAACCCGCCACCTTAGTGGCTGGCGCCTTAGCCACTTGAGCCACAGGTGTCAAGCCATATCTAATATATTAATCAAAGACTCAGTGGGCAGCAGTTACATGCAAAGTTTCTCAGATTTTTAATGTATTTAAGACTTACGTGAAGAATTCATTAAAAATCCAAGTTTATGGGCCAAACCAGAGATTTTAATTTAGTAAACTCGGAAACAGAGATGGAGCCTAGGAATCTGTAAATTATTAAACTGTGGGTATTTTATATTAGGCTACTATGGATTCAAACTTGTCCACACTAATTTGGACTGGACAAGGGGAAAGATGATTAGAGGCAAGACCAAGCCAAGATGTTCTGGCTTAGATAAAATGGCTCAGAGGATCAGGATCAATCCTAAAAAGACCTCCAGGATCAATCAAGCTAAAAAAATACAGAGATTAGAATGCTGAAACTACTGGAAGGCTGAGGCAAGAGAATCGCCTAAGCGCAGGAGTTGGAGGTTACTGTGAGCTATGATGCTATAGCACTGTACTGAGGGAGATAGAGTAAGATTCTGTCTCTTAAAAAAAAA